AACAACGATCTCTGGTACCGGTGCGCTCTCTCTCTCTCTCTCGCTCGCGCACGCACACAAAATGGCTCGTTCCACACACACACAGAGCCAAGCTTGAATGAAACACAGAGACCCAGACGTACTTGAACTGTATCATATTATTTTCGAATCAATAATCTTTCAGATTTTTTTCTCAAAACCATTTTTCTTCCTGGTCTCTCGCTGTCATGCCTCTGCGCCCCCCACTTTGAGAAAATACTGGTTTAGTCTATTTTGTGTTAGCAAATAATGGATACAATTTCTCAGAGCCCAAGGTCACATCATCAATCTAACTCACAAAGATATTTGATTCACTAAAATGTGACTAAAGACAGCAGCAAAAGCTCCCTTTTTCACAGAGCAAAATCAGCAAATATTATTGGGAAATAATTATACTCCATGGCATGTTATTCATGGCTGTGTCACATATTCGATTTGAAAAGAAAGAATAGAGGAAAAAACGTGCATACAATACAAAAAATCCAATCTGATCCATACTTTGACTTCTACAAGGATTTGCGAGGCCTCTTTTCAGAGTCCTTGTATTTATTTCCAAAATGATATTAATTTGAGCATGAACTTTATAAACTGTGTTTCCTCTCTGCGACTCCTGGTATGACTCACAGAGACAACCGATAGTAACTGTAGATTATATTAGACGCAGTTTGTCTGTTGTTTGAAACCGAGACTTTCAAATTTGAAAATATGACAATAAAGAGCAGCAAAATCAGCAAGCTATCAGCATATTAAACATTTTTGCATGGAAAATGAAGGAATAATTGGTTATGAAATATTTAGCAATGCATTTTATTTTCTATTGACTAATCTCCTCAGCTGTAGACTGTACAAAATGATTATACTCCACGGCCTGTTATTCAAGGCTGTGTTACATTATCAATTTGAAAAGAAGGAATAGAGGAATAAAATAACTAAATATACAGTAAAATAAAAATAAATTGGAAATGCCTCAAAAATACTTGGACAAGCTTTGCATTAGCCTTCCTCTATCTATCATATGTTCCCCCTCAATTATTACTTTTAGCAAAATCATCAAAACTATATTGTAAATAATGATAAATAGTTACTCTTATTTGTTTAAATATGTTTTTCTTACTTTTAGATTTATAATAATATTTCCTTGTACTTTTCATATTATACAAATTGATGTTATTTTTGATTCTAATATTTTCTGGTGCTCACTTTTGACTTGCACTGCACTTTTTATCACCTTCTGTTATTTTTAAACATGCTTTATAATGAACTTGAATTGACTGAAAAGTAAGCAAGCTCACTAATAGGCTACAATAACAACAATTACACATGCAGTATGAAATAAAATAAATGCGGCTTTAACTAAGATTGATAGATTTAATTACAAAAATAATTCTGAAATGTACAAATGCACTCACTAAACCGTTGATGGAAAATCTCCTTTAAGTGTTCCCAGTATATATTATAACATTGATGAAGTCAGTCCGAGCTTCTCACACCTCCCACAGTTTGGAATTCATCTGCCCATCAACGCGCTGCATGCTGGGTGTCCCCGCGTTTTCACACATGACTCTGTTACTTCTTACTTTAGAGTATATTTTCTCTAATTGGCATATCAATGTTTTTTCTTTTAGAGCCTCGTTGCGGTGTGGCCCCGGTGAGTGTCGAGCGGTCCGGCCCTCCAGACATAGAGAGGGGATCCACGTCCTGCCTTCCCCCAACCAATGACAATCCTCCTACACCGAGGGGAGGGGCTGACAGCGAGACGGAGAGCGATACTGACGACCCGTGAGTACAAAGAGGAGGGTTTTATCTCCTCTGGAGTTATAATGCTGTTTTTAATTTTAGGATGTTTTTTGCAAATTATTTTTTTTGGCACATAAGCGAACACATCTTAATCTTAGTAGCAGAATATCACAGTTTATTAATCACAAGGCTAATTAATATTGGTGCTTTAATGTTCAAAAAGCTCTTTATTTTTGCTGCCTGTGCTGCATCGCCACCCTTCGCCTGAAACCAGAGCTCAGTCTGCTCTGATTGGTAATCTCTGTTGTGAGCATAAAAGCATAAAAAGGCCTCTTATATCAAAAAATAAATCATGTTCACATTAGGGATGGGAATTTGAAAGCAAATGTATATTCAAATATTCGACCCCCAAAAAAACGGTTGACCGAAATGTACATATCCTATAAAAAAAAAAAATGTGGGAAAAATGTTGACAAAAAAAGAAAAGAAAATACTATAATAAGTATAGAAAACAAGTCAAATTTGTCAAATGTATTGAACTGGTGATCACAGTTTGAACAGTTGACAGCTATAGGCCTACAGCTTTCATGCTTAAAACACAACTTGGTTTTGAAATTAAAAAGGGATCATACACGGACAACATAACGGGTTAGGGTAACGTAACCCTATTACAACAGACATCACAACCTATAACAGGGCCTATCTACAGAATGCAGCTATTCAATACTCATTCTTCTTTAAGAATATGAGCATGTCTACTCAGGGAGAGGCGGGTGCGGAGACGATTTACAATCAGGCCAGCTGTAGAGAAGACCCTCTAAACTGGAATTTGGGCATAATATGAGGCTTGAGTCTGCGTGTAGGGAGCAGCCATATCATTAGCTAGAACTAGCTAGATCTGATGGATTTGGACATAAACGCACGAGAGGGACCGGTGAGCGGAGCAAAACACACCTTTAGACCTAATACATTTAGCTATGGCACTGTCGTATACATTGAATTATTCCATTTGATCAAATGTAATCAACTTAGGCCCCCCTCCCAAAAAAAAAAAAAATTACAATAGAGATATTCATAACTCATATTCTCATATTCGAATACCTGAATAATTTTGAATATTCGATGAATCGTTCCCATCCCTAGTTCACATGCAGTTGCAGTATTTTAAATCTGTCTGCGAGCCACATATACACTCCCTGACCTATTGAATTGGCCACACTTTTTTTCATTTGATTTTGGATTAAAGATTCTAGTTCATTAACATTACCTCTAGTCATTTGTTGATATGAATATCGTCAAAATCCCTACTTTGACTTCTCCAAGGATTTTTGGAGCCTCCCTTCAGAGTCATTATGTATATTTCCGAAATGATATGTATCAATTTTGAGAAGAAAAAAAGGAAACTAAATGTAATGCTAAATGTAATTTTCCTTAAACTTTCAGTATGGAGAAACAGAACAAAAACTAACCTTCTGTCCTTTAAAAAGTGCTACATTTAAATGTCTCCTGGTATGGCTCACAGAGACAACCGATAGTAACTGTAGACTATATTAGACGCAGTTTGTCTGTTGTTTGAATTGAAGACTCTCAAGGACGCTAAACTCAGAACAGGTGCACTGAAATTCACCTCTGACAGCTAAATTCTGAAGAAACAAACACCAACAAACAACTCTACTTCTACCAGCTGTATCAGTGTGTGTGTCTGGCAGGAGTTTTACAGTCTGTGCCTGTTCATTCCTCTCAGTCTCAGGCTGCGTCTGCTCTTTCAGAGTGACTCAGACGCTTCGTGGCTGTCTGGCTGGTGGTGTGGTTTTGAATTTCTCAGGGTCACTGTGCTCACAAAGGCCTCCATCACCCAAAGAAGAGCTTCAGCAATCTCCTCAATGCTGCAGTGCTTATACTGCTACGTCGAAATTGAGGGGACTAATGGCATAAATTAAAACAAGGTCGAGCAATTTAGACGTGAGCTCAATTTATTAGCTGTTTTACTCTGCTTTACCTATACATCAACACTTTGGGCATGCTTACAATCAAATACAAGAAGAACACAAACTTTTTAATTATTAAGTCCTTCACTCTGTTTGTATATTTTATATTACACACATGAGCACATGCACAGACAGGACCTATACACACAAAATGTGTATTTGTTTGTTGTACTGATTTTTATCTCTCAGTTCTAGGTTTGGGATAAAAAAAATTCTTTCATTTTTTGTAATTTAAAGAGTAGACACCTCAGGCAGAAATATTGTTTTTCATTCACTTGCCAATTTTGAGATTTGGGCTAATTTTGTATTTTTTCAATCTTGTGGAAAGAAAATATAAAAAATACACATAGCTTTTTATTTTATAACATCCTTTTATATGTATATCTTTTTGTTGAGTTGCCCCTTAATTCACTAAAGTTAGCATTGCATAATACCTTATTTGCATTTGAAAGAATAACATTTCAGAAAACCTCAAATTAAGACAATAAATGATTTGTGTCTAAGTAATTAATTGGTGAAGTTATATTTATTTATTAGATCCATTATTTTCGAAAATTATTTATATTATTAGTTTAATTATTTGCAAAAATGTATGGAGCTTTACTACACATTTCTTCAAAAGCCATTTTCTCAAAATCTCAAACCTTCATATCAGTAGCACTGATACATGGCACTTTCCAGTTTTATTCCTATCCTTATTATAAAGGGCTTTATTGAGGAATTATTATTCTATTATTATTTATAGAACAGAAAGACAGAAATGTAATTTTTTTATGACTGTTGACAGTATTTTCACCCCTTTGTGTATCACTATTTTTGCCCTTTTTGCTTATTGAATCTTTAATTAATAATGTAACTTGCCTTATATAATAAAAATGCATTTTAAAAGTAGACCAGAAGGCTAAAGGACGCTGTATTTATGTAGTCCACCTTGACACAGAGTTCAATGTCTATTAGCTGAAAGGTTCAGATGTTCTGTCTGCCACCTCACGGTTTCAAAAGGTTTTTCTAATGGTCATAACTTTTATGCTATCAATTTTAACAGTTTCCTTTTCATTTGAGACAAGAAACCTTAATCTATGTTTATTTACCATTGGTACATTAGTCTACTGCTGTGTTTCTCAGACTGCTGTAACACAATAGTAATCTTAACCCAGTTTGTAACAACATTTAATTGGTTCCCTTCATATAAGTTCGCTGTCTGGTTGCCTTTTCCTTAATACAATCAAATGGCGTGCAAGAAGACTGCAATTTAGTTGTAGAAAACAGGAGTTTCTTTGGAATTACCTGAATAAATACTTCACATGCTGAGTTAAACTACCAAGGCTGAATAGATATAGAAAAGTGTGTGAAATGAAAGGAAAATAAATTCAGGAAGACAGAAGGGAAAAACTGACCTAGTTTGCTGACATGTGACTTAGTTCTGGTTTACAACCCATCACATGTCTTTCTAATTTACTCTCAAGAGTAGACTCCACCCACATACATAGTGAGGTCACTATGTAACACTTGCCTTCTGTTGGCTGGCCCTCCAACACATTGTGTGATAGGCTAAGGGGTGGGACATATCTAAGTGGTTGACCAATCACAACAGTGCTGGCCAGCTAACCAATCAGAGCAGGCTGGGCTCTGGATTAGGCCCCGTCCACATGGACACGAAACGGGTTGTATCTGCTACAGTTCTCTATCGTATGGGCGGTTCGTCCACACGAGGCCGTAACGGAACCAGGGAAACGGAGCCCTCAAACGGTAACGGGTCCCAAGGTGGGTAGGTCTGCGGACCTAACGCTCTGGGGGGCCAAACAGCTCCGTGTGTACGCCCTATGCACCATAGCCCCACCTCTCCTGCTCACCCCCGCGTCACCCGCCTCATTGCTGATGTGTCTCGCCAACAACAACAACAACAACAGTGTTTCGAGTGTTTTGAGCCAGGTCCCGGTATCTTGCAGGACAGTGCACCCAGCAGGAGCCTCCAGCAGACCCCCCCGCACGGTTCCCTCGCCCCTTGGAAGAGGCGGAGAGGTGGGTGTTTTTCATCTGCTGGTGGACTACAGGGGAGAACGTCTTGCTCGGGAGCCAGGCTCAGAGTTAGTGGCAGTGGGTGCGGTGCACCTGCCTTTTACAGCAGGAGCACACGCTCGCCTAGGGAAGGGAGAAAAAGAGAAGCAGCAGCCGCCGAAACAGCCAGAGCCCTGCCTCTCCCCACCTCTGCTGCTCACCCCCGCGTCACCGCTGAATCCACTGCGGAGAATAAACAGAAGGGCAACCAGGCAACCATGGCAACCATGCTCGGGAGGTCTTATTCGCTGCTTTTGGTGTATTTTGTGGCGGAATTACAGCGCCACTTAGAGGCCCGGCATATGTACTACAGTATCTCCAGCGGGTCGAGCGGTCTCGTGTGGACGGACACGTTTCTTGAGCCGATACCGTGTGGACGGAAGACTTTTTATATCGAATTCGCTTCGTTCTCCATTTTGTCTCCGTGTAGATGCCACCTCCAGAGGGTGAAAAGAGGTGCTGCAGCACAGGCAGTATGAGAGGAAAAATAGCTTTTTGAACATTAAAGCATGTAAACATGTCACAGTAGAGGCAACAAAAATATATATGAACCTGAACATTTGCATAATATGGGCCCCTTTAATAAATAAGGAATAGTGTGTCTTGAATACCGCCTCTCACTCAGTAATTCCCCTTGATTTCCAGTCTTTTGGGGACCCATAGTTTAACTTTTGTCTCTGTGTGTGAATGCAGGTTTTCCCCGGGTGTGGCCAACGAGGCAACGCCCTCCTCTGGCCCCTTGAAGAGACGCACACAGTCCCTCAGCGCCCTGCCAAAGGATTTAGACAGGAAGGTCAGTCCACCATGCAGACAGATGGTAGAAAGGGCAAAAAGGTACAGAATTTTTTTTTTGATAAGAGGTTGGCTTATGGTGACCAAAAGTGACATCATCACATGTATTCGGTAAGATTCCTTAAGTCGTTGTGATAATTTTGCAATGCTTTTCACACATGCATGCCAAAAAAAGCATACTGATCAAGGCCAATAACTTGAATTAAAAAGTAAAATTATTAATTAGTTTCACTTATAAGTGTGTTACCATTTATTTGTTAGATGCTTTAGCAAATATACACTTGAGTAATGTTTTTTCAAGCTTAATCAAATTGTTTACAGTATATTCAACTTTATAACCTTCATTTGAATATTTTCTTCTAAATATATGATATATTAAAATATCAACTATCACAATATTTGTATCGAAACACCTTGATATTTATTTTGCAACAATATATGGGGGTTTACTATTGGTGCTTTTATAACATATTACCAGTTATGTATTTGATTAGCGATCATCAGTTATGTGGATGTATTGACATATATATATAATGACATAAAATAATGACGTAAAATGACATTGCTACTGTATTGCAGTAAACCAGGAAAACACAGCACATATGCAATATTTAAAGAGGATATCTAGTCCTATATCACAGTATCAATACAATACGATGTATTGCCCATCCCTATGCGGAGGTTCACAAATGAAGCTGAATACTTACCGTAATACCAAACTCTTTGTCCTCTGCAAACCCCAATCAGAGGGAGAAGGACCACATCCGCCGACCCATGAACGCATTCATGATCTTCAGTAAACGCCACAGGGCCCTGGTGCACCAGCGGCATCCCAACCAGGACAACCGCACCGTCAGCAAGATCCTGGGGGAGTGGTGGTACGCTCTGGGACCCAACGAGAAGCAGCAGTACCACGATCTGGCCTTCCAGGTAAACACGCTGTAAAATGATTTAAGTGTCTCTTTTTTCTGTTGGTTACTTCTTATAGAGTGGTGCAGTGACGAGTCCTAAAACCCGGAAGTGAGTTAGCATTTTACCACTACGTGTTCCCTCGCAATGGGATTTCTCCATAGGATTCTGGAAAATAGCTTGAAATAGGCTGTGGTTGACCAACACAATTTAAGAGGACGGCATCCACGTTTTGTTCTACCGACATTATAATACTCGAGCAGTTACCCACTGGGGATTTTTTTTAAGAAGTTTCTGTGTCCTGATANTTGACACACATTTAAGAGACGGATCACGTTTTGTTCTACGACATTATAATACATCAGCAGTTACCCCACTGGGGATTTTTTAAGAGTTTCTGTGTCTGATAAAACGATGGTTGTTAACAAGTGGCTGAATAGGACTACAGAAGTTGTCGAGGACGTTGTACCTCATTACACCGAACACGTAAACACTCCTCTAAGTTTGTTTTCCCTGTTCTGCTTGAAAGCACTGCTACGCTGACGACAACCAATTAATTCTGTCCTTTCCCCGCTCAGAGACCCAGGTCGTCGCAAGCATCTCTGCTTGTCTAGCAGACATCTCTCAGTGGATGTTTGCTCATCACCTCAAGCTCAACCTTGACAAGACTGAACTGCTTTTCCTTCCGGGAAAAGATTGTCCCACTCTTGACCTAACAATCAACATCGGCACCTCTGTTGTTTCCCCGACTCAGACTGCAAGGAATCTGGGTGTGATCCTAAATAACAAACTGTCCTTCACTGCAAACATCGCTGCTACAACCCGCTGCTGCAGATACACTCTTTACAACATCAGGAGGATACGTCCCCAGCTGACCCAGAAAGCAACGCAGGTTCTGGCCCAGGCTCTCGTCATCTCACGCCTAGACTACTGCAACTCCCTCCTGGCTGGTCTACCTGCATGTGCCATCCGACCTCTGCAGCTCATCCAGAATGCAGCGGCTCGCCTGGTCTTCAACCTTCCTACATTTTCCCACACCACGCCGCTCCTCCGCTCCCTTCATTGGCTTCCAGTAACTGCTAGAATCCACTTCAAGACAATGGTACTTGCGTACCATGCTGCGAATGGATCTGGCCCTTCCTACATCCAGGACATGGTTAAACCGTACACCCCAGCGCGTGCACTCCGCTCTGCATCAGCCAAACAGCTCGCTGCACCCGCACTGCGAGGGGGACCCAAGTTCCCATCACCAAAAACACGTGGGTTTGCTATCCTGGCTCCAAAATGGTGGAATGAGCTCCCCATTGAAATCAGGACAGCAGATAGCTTGCATATCTTCCCGGGGCAGACTGAAAACTCATCTCTTTAGACTCCACTTCGAGCGATAGAATTACTAACAAAGAACTGCTAACAAAGCACTTATATACTAATAAAGGACTGGCTTATCTATAGCCAGTTGAGTAGCACTTGAAATGTTTTAGCTCTATGAAACCTGATGTACTTATATGATTCTGTTTTCTTCAAGGTTGTATCTTCCTGGTCGAATGTACTTATTGTAAGTCGCTTTGGATAAAAGCGTCAGCTAAATGCAATGTAATGTAAAAGCAAGTACCTGCTTCTTGCAAACTGTTAAAACAAACGCTTCAACTTGTACCATTTTGAATCTGTATTTTTCAATATGGATCTTAAGTTGGCGTGACGTTGAAGTCGTGCTGCTGTTCTCGGCTGTAGTTCCTTTATAGCATAACGTTAGAATTTTGCTTATGGCGATTAGATTTATGATTTGAAAATTATAAAAATAGGATAGACATGTGGATATTATCTGGCTGAACAAAACGTGCATTTATCAAACAGGTTCGTTTTCCACAGACCTTATTTTGAGCTATTTTACCAAATCCTATGGAGAAATCCCATTGCTTTTTTGTCGAGGGAACCCATGCGCAGTTTACTTCCGGGTAAATACGTCATCCCTGCACTGCACCACTCTATTGCCATGCCAGATTAGTAAATCTTGAGCCATCATATCAGAGCTTTTTAATTTGAGACATCCAGCTTTATAAACAGCAGGTTGTCTTGCATCCACAACAAATAAAGACCCACTGCACCTCTTTATCCTCCTCCAGGTGAAAGAGGCCCACTTCAGAGCCCACCCAGACTGGAAGTGGTGCAACAAGGACCGCAGGAAGTCTCTGTCAGAGGGCCGTGGGACGCCAAAGGAGTCACGGGAGAGGAGCATGTCGGAGAGCATAGGTGTGTGTTTATTAGCATTGATTAACATTTACAAGCTAATGTAAAATATGCCATTTACAAGGTCTGAGAAAACACCAACTGCTTTGAAGGTTTTGTCAGTTATCCTGTTGAATATCAAGTCCAACAAAATCTACTGTATTATAAAACGTTATGCTGATTGAATTGAAGATTGCAGGCTGATGAAGTGTTGTTTTAGATTTTCTGTTTTATTGATTATAATGCGATGACACCTTTATATATATATTTATATATACAGTCTATGGATGACACACAACGATATTTTATCTTTGATCAGAGTCTTTCTCTTCTCCAGATCCCCATCCAGACGCTCAGGTGCTGCTGGAGGGGAAGGGGGGAGGCTCGGGCTGGCAAGGGGGATCAGAGCGTCGAGGGGGAATGTTCGGGGGGCAGTACTCCCGTCCCCGAGCCTTTTCCCAGAGTGCCGTGCACACCCTGGAGCAGACGGAGAGAGAGAGCGAACTGGAGAAGGTAGGCGGTTGTTAATCTGTAGCTCAAAGGCAGCAGAGAGACTCGGGAGATTTTACAATGTGCAGCAACATTTTGGAGATCGGGTTTTAATTTAACCTTAAAGCTAGAGAAATTAAAAATATTTTGCTTTAAGATTAGTCGAGTTTCATTCAAGCACTTAAAACTAGTTTATTACATTTAAGAAAAAATGCAGAAATGAAAAGCAACACCCAGCAATCCCCCAAAACACACAGACATGTGTGTGTGAGTGTGAAAGCAGACATGTGTCCTTCACACTGCAAAGCCTTCTAGTTGAACTCACAGAAAGAGTTCAATTGGACTCTCTGAATTCTTTGTGTGAGGGCTCGAGTTTATGCTGCTGAAGCTCTGGGGGAGCTCAGCCTCCAACTTCAAAGGTTCCACTTTCTACTTTTTTAGAGCCTTTGAAGGCTCTGTGGTGTTTGCTGCTTCGCTCCTAATCACAGAGGGATAGGCCTGCATGCTAGCTCTTTGTTTTGAAGGCATTCGTTTAATGCTGGTGGCGTAGCTGTATGCATGCTTTGATAATATTGCTTCTGTCTGATGTATTTTTTCTGATGTACTTGAAGGCTAACTTCAATTTTTCTATGTGTTTGTCTATTAGTCACTAATAGGGACCATAGGGGTTCATACTCTATTCTGACACGTCTCCATGCTTTAATGTTCAAAAAGCTCTTTACTGTTCTCATACTGCCTGTGCTGCAGCACCTCTTTTCACCCTCTGTCTGAAACCACAGCCCAGTCTGCTATGATTGGTTATCTGGCCAGCTCTGTTGTGATTAGTCAACCGCTTAGAGATGTTCCACCCCTTAACAAATGAATGTCAAATGGAGGCGTTTCAGGCAGGGGGTGATAGTGTGGGAGAGAAACTCCCTCTGAAGGGAACTTTGGGATGTAAGCCTTAGCAGACCATTTACACAAACCTATTTAACACGACAGGAAAGGGAAAACCCCAAAGCATATTAGGGCCTCCTTAAGTATTTAGAGAGAACTATGTAAACAGTCTCCGATGAAATGGCTTAGGACAATTCTGCACAGAAAGTGCTTGTTTTTTCCACTGACATGCTCAGATTTGTATTCCAAGTGTCTGAAACCTTATGGAAAGGCCCCTAAAGAGAAATAAAACATAATGTTTTACCTTTCGCTTGATCAGGTCTGTTTGTTCTTTGCTCATGTAACTTTTTGCCAGAAGACAATGGTGGAATGGTGGTGAGAATTGGAGGGAAGAGTGCTGGTTTATTTACAGGTACAGAAAGTGTAGCTTGGTGTTATCTGAAACATATTCAAAGTTATGGTTGTATTTGTAGCTGTTTGGATGCAATGAAAATGAAAGACTCTGTTTGACACAGTAACTAAAACATTTATTTCATTTTGAGACAGCTATAATAACAGCCTCAGCCTGACGGTGGCATAAAACCCTTTATAACGGCGTCCAAAAGTGCCCTGAACGAGAGCAATGCAGTGCTCTTACTCAATACTGGACCAATTTCATAAAGTGTTGTCCCCATTAGTGACTAAGACCAGAAGACATTGTAAAAGAAAGGGGTTCCAGGTTCAATTGTAAGACTGTTAACATTTTCTTTTTGTATTCATTTGTTATCAGGAGGGTGCGAGTTCTTTCCGGCACAGACCCCTCCCTCAGTCCATGTACCACGGCGAGGACGTGCCCAGCGACGATGAGCGTATGGTCATCTGTGAGGAAGAAGGAGACGATGATGTCATGGGTGAGTGAGATGAGCAGCACGGTGGTCTAGTGGTGGTTAGAGAGACTGTTGCATAACCACAAAGTCATCGTTTCAGTTCCCACAGCGATCACTGTGACTTAGAAAAAGACAATGAACATCAGCCTGATTCAGAATGACTGTCTGCTGAGCCTCAGCCTTGGGCTATTAAATCGCTAGTGTTAGAATAAAGCATAACAATAGCACATCATTGGCAATTTGGTGGTGATACTGGCGGTTTTTGAGGGCACTGATTGCAAATGAAATCAGTTCAAAGAAACAGTTGAAATTATATTGTGTGTTAAGTCGTCTTTTCTTAAATGTACTAACACTAACTTCTGATATCTGTGTCCCATCCTCAGATGACTCCTGTCCTGAAGGCTCCATTGATCTCAAGTGTAAAGAGAGAGTGACAGACAGTGATGAAGACGAACCAGATGGACAGGTAGCTGCAGAGATCATCATATAACTCGAGTTACTGTCCACACTGGACCTCAATTTGAGCGAGATTTTCAGTTTTTGGTCTGCTCACTATGTTACGGAGATGAACAAAGGAGTTCAATTGAGGCGTTTTAGGCAGTGTGTGGGACGGAAACTCCCTCTGGAGTGAACTTTGGGATTTTAGCCTTTGCAGACCATTTATATGCCCAAAAAGCTATATTACACACTACAGGAAAGGGAAAACCCCAAAAAGCATAATAGGGCCCCTTTAATGTAGCTCTGTTGGCTTGCTTTCGTGTTATAACTATCTCTTTTTCTCCAAACTGTGGGTGTGCTGGTCACACTTAGCATGAATAAGTACCTCATATAACCCCACTTTAAACAATTCAGCTCGTAACTTTATGTTTTTTATGAAGAAGAGAAAAACACTCCTTAGTAACTCTCCTATCTTTGATCTCTCTTTCTCTCCTCCCTCCAGCATAACTTCCAGCCAGTGGTTCGCTCCTCTCTCCCTTCTTCCTCTCCCCCCATCCTAACCTCAGCAAAAGGGAATGGAGAAGGAGGAGGAGGTGGTGAAGAGGGGTCTGAGAGGAACAGAAAGAGAGGTACAGACAGAGGAGAGGAGGGGAGCGAGGGAAGAGCCAAGAGAGAGGAAACAGCAGCAGGAGAAAGAGGTGTCTCCCCAACATCCAGCCCCAAGGCTTTGGCCCATCAGGGTGTGACCCAGGTCCTAGGAGCCGTCCGTGTGGCTCCCACTATGGTTACCAACGTGGTACGACCCATCGCCAGCACGCCCATCCCCATCGCCATCAAGCCAATAGAAGGATCCGCCACCCTCAGCTCAGTGCCTCAGGACAAGAAATCCACTCTCCTGATTGGAGGAGGAGGACCTCAGCTGCTGCCAATCACTGCAGGGGGTGGGTACCTGTCCTCATCCTCCTCCCCCGGTCCAGTCAGTGTCACTCCTATGGGGGGTCTGGTCACTAGTCTAGTTCTGGGAGGGTCCTTTCCCGTTGCCCAACCAGTTCAGCTCCTCGCCACTGAGCAGCCGCACGCACAAACCCCCCTCCCCGCCCTGCAGCCCCAGCTCCACCCCTCTGCCGCCACCTCCTCCCTGACACCCCCCGCCGGCCCCAAGCCGATAGCGCAGGCCCCCTACATCCTGCCTACCGAGAACCCCTCCTCCCCTCAACTCACCCACCAACAAATCCTCTCCCTGCCCACCAATGCCTCCCTGCCCAATGGCATGCACTCAGGGGTGGGACTGAGAGTTGCATCAGTCAGTCCCGGAACCAGAGGTGAGACAGAGAGCAACGATTGGCGGACAAAAAAACTAAAAAGCAGAGTTTTGACTTTGTGTTTTTACCATAAACTGTATATAAAGATGGTCTTCGTCCCACTGTACGAAGTCTTGTTCTGACGTAATATGGAACCAGAGTTTACGCAGTAATGAGTGGAGGACATGGAGCCACGGAATCAGGGTCCTGCCCAAACTCATCGCTAGCTTAGCACTACTGCTGCTTTTTTAGTGTGAGCAAACTAGCTGCTATATTAGCAACACGTTAGCTTAAAAGACGCTCAAACTAACTGTATCTTTATCAATACAATTACGAACAAATTGCAGGATGTCTTATTATATACTGTACACTCAGCATTGGTGTCTGAGAAACGTCATCTGTTATCACTGATATTGCCACAAAGCACTGGCTAACCTTTCTGTAAATTGAAGGTAGCGACATGATCAGTGATACTACAAGACGACAAGATCATGAACAGATTATTGTGTTAGAAACAGTCACGGTCTTGGTAGGATAACTTACTTCTCCTGTTGCAATTCTTATTTAGATTTCCTAAGAATCTTAATTCTTAAGATTAGCTGTCAATACTGAAGTCTCAAGCCATTCATATAGCATTAAACAACTAATTAAAATCAAATTAACACTTGAACATACAAATGTGATAAAAACGACATAAAAAGCAGTATTTTTGGAAAAACATTTTTGACCTGTACATTCTGACTTATTAGTTTAGCTCACGTCCTATCAGCTAACATGGAGGAAATAAAGACTGCAGCAGCCAGAGGGGGATTGAGATGCTTTGGCTTCACTTTTAAGTTATGTCATCCATCTTTATATACAGTTTAACGGGTCCACTGACAAATGTTCTTTTAGCTGTAGTTCCCTTATTAATCATCTCTTCCGGAAGCTCTCAAAATGGATTTGATTGGCTTACATAAACGGGAGATAAATGATTGACAGGAGAAATACTGTTGACATGAGTATGAGCGCCTGCCGCCCACCCGTGCCTTAATCACTCACTATTCATACTGAAGCACATTGTTCCCCCTCGTTATCAGAGAGGAATTTCACTATTATCAGCCTCTGAAATGCCGCCGCCCACCCGTCCCTCCTGTGCTGTCCTAACCTCACCCCTTTTGGCTCGATTCATCCGTTTCTCACGCTGAGTGTTTTAATTCCCTCTCTCCTTCTCACTCATTAGTTCAAACCCAGTCGCCGGGTTTGCCGAGCAAGATGTTGGTTCCCATGGCAACAGTGAGATCAGGATCTACTCCTCCTCATCCCTCCATTTCCCTGGTCGCTCCGCCTCTTCCTGTGCAGAACGGCGCCGCCACAGGAAACAAGGTGAGGATGTCAACAGGTTCATTGAAACAAGTGTCAACAGCGTAAAATATAAATAGACGCCACCTTGTTTGCTGACAGGCAACAAGGTGGGTAAATCCACAACGGCATCAGCAGCATTTAAACAAGGCATGATGGGAACTAAGTGGATTTATGCTCATGTTTTACTGCCACCTGCTGCACTCTTTACCTACTTCTCATTGGTCAGATTTGGAATTGAAATTGTTGAACCAAAAATACAAAAATGTTTCTGGTAAGAGCTTATTCAATATAATGATTTGCTTTAAATCTCATCATATAAATATGAATTGATTAATTGTGACTTTTTGAATGTTAGACAGATAAACCCAAGCATTTAATGACTTTAATATCCTGATTAATGCATTTTATATCCTTAATTGATATACTTTATATTAGATATAGCACAGCATATAGAGCGCTGCTATTAATCATACTATGTCACGTTATCTCATAACATGTCACTTGACTTACTTGGTCTGGAATAGTTATTACTTGTATAGTTTCTATCATAGGGCTCGTGTCCACATGGCTCCTTTTTCTGAGCGCCACTGTCTTTTTTTGGCCTTTTATTTCAGTTTTTTTGATACAACACCTGAACTCCACTCTAGGGATCAAAAAAGACTATCAATCTCTCTGAACTACTCTTTTTTCCTCTTATCCTTAATAATGAATCTATTAATCAAACCAATTAATGAAAGTGAAATTAAAGTGTTTGGTAGTTGCAGCGCTTCTGTTGTGCTGCGTTTTATTCAGGAGGGACCCGTTTCTACAATAAAGTGCTACACTTGTTCTGAAGTCATAAAAGCACATTTGATATTTATAAGTTTGTCTCACTGGATACATAACACATTCATGATTAAATACCAGATGTTTTTCCTCTGAAGATTCAGGGTCTATTTTGAGATGAGTTGGTGAGAAAACCCTTTTGTTTGTGTGTTCCCCCCTACAGATCATCCAGATCGCTCCCATGCCTGTGGTGCAGACCAGCGTTCACCCTGGCGGCGCAGCAGCTGTGCACTCAGGGAGCCCTTTTCCTGTTTCTGTGGCGACGGTGATGACTCCCGGTGCAGCGCCCCCACAGACAGTGCTTCTGACCTCTCCACCCACCAGGTCACTAACACCTGAAACACAACAACTTATACACTTTTATTTCCCTTACCTAGGGCTTGGAGCTGGTTTAACAGCATTTAAAGATGCTGTGAGATTCCATCTCTGCCAGGTCCTTAAGGTTGTTATACTAAATGTAAAGTGAATGTAGATAAAGAAAGGTAACTCTTTGGACTCATGTCACACTCCCTTTGAGCAATGGGACATATAATACATAAAGTTGAGAAAGGTGGGGAAAAATATATATGGCCATTTGGTCACACTGTTGAAATAGAAAATGGGATTATAGATAATAGATTAAACTGGGCGGATTTTAATCAACAACAATTTCTGTAGTAGCCTTTAGTAATATTTTTTAACAAAAATTCCCAAAACTGATCTATTTCATCTTCTTATATATGTTTATTAGTTTCCTTAAACTGAATATCTTCAGGTTTTAGTTTGTTAAAAATAAATGCAAAAAAGTATAGAGCAGTTCATAAAAAATTGAGCTAGTTCATAAAAAAATCGCATAAAGTGTTTTAAATTATTTTCTGCCACCAAATCTGAAAACCTAACTATGGATCAATCGAGAACATTTTTTCAACTTGCATATATGCAAGTATATATTTGATCCCTCATGTTCCTATCCTGTAACATAAAAAAAATAATTTGGAGATGAAAATGTGTGGTTAAGCTAACTTCAAAGTGCTTAAATGTGTCTCTAAATAAACGTTATGAACTCTGTATTATACTCAGCTTTATCCAGCTCCACACTCATTGTTCCTCTCTCCTTTAGGATCACATATGTCCAGTCTGGTCCAGGAGTAACCCAGGCAACACCCCAACAGGCCACTCCCCCTCTTGGCTCTGCGTATCTTCAATCATCCCTGGCGACCCTGGGCTTCACCGCCATCGCCCCGGTCGGGTTAACTCTGGTTCAGCCTCCACTGTTAGCTCAAGCCCCGCCCCTCAGCTGTCAATCACAGACCCCTCCAGTTCAGGCCTCAGCAACTGCTGGTCGTCAGGTAAAGAGGAGCGAATCACAGAGTGTGTATTAGTGTCAAAAGAAGATAAGAGTGTTACATTAGATACTTTTATTATACTTTATATTTGAGTTTTTATTTTCAGTCCAAAGGCTGAGGTATTTTGTTTTCTTTCTTCTTGTTCTTAGTTTACCAGTAGTGTAAACAAATCCTTATTAAAATATTTTGCTTCAAAGATTTTGAATGTTGTCATTAGCACATGCTGTTCCAAAGGGCAGCAGGATTAATATTATAAAGTCATAAATACATTACTTTTGAAAAAATAAGAAAATGACTCTAAGCAACTAAGGAAATACGGCTGTGACGTTTGACCTCTACACTAACTTCTATGTTTTTACAAAACAGAAAGATGGAATATTCAACCATAAAAATAAGTTTACTATTTCTAAGAAAAGATAAATGTTTACCAAAGAAGTAATTTATATATTTGACTCGATTTCCACTTATCCCACTGGTTTAGATTACCGTCTAATGACACGTTCACTGTTGGCCTGTTACACCCCTTTTTGAAGGTAACACACAAAAAGTGTTGTTTACTGACATGCTTCCTCTCCATCAGGTACTAACTGCCATCTACCCTGCACCACCCGCTTCTCTGCCTACTGGGGTGGTCTCTGTAGCTCCCGCACCACCCGCAGTGGCCCCCGCGGCCCAGGACGTGATGGACCCTTCCTCCCCGTTACAGACGGGGGTGCAGGGTTCAGCGGCGGTGACCCTTCAGCCTTACGAGGCGGTGAAGGTGAAGGTGGAGGTGAAGAAGGAGAACCTGCTGGATGGTCCGCCTGAAGATGGAGGACAGGAGTTATCAAGCTTAGCTGCCAGTTCCTTATTGACTATTTATGAAACAGCAGGTAACACTCCACTGGTTGGTTTGGGGTTCAGTGTTCAAAAAGGAAAAATGTCACCTATTTAGACTTACTGATCTGAATCACAATATTACAGGGAATTAACATTTTTTAAACATTAATCACTTTATCAGAGAAAAATATATTATAATAAGGCTCTGTACCAAACATGGATTTGTCTGTAGAATAAAAATTTTGTTTTACATATTTAGCTTTTACCAAATATTGTACTAGTGGCGATTTCCATAAAATGTAGATTAACTGTGCAGCCCTAAGTGTCGAAATAAGATATCAAGATATTGTTTAAACATACAGTGACATTTGTTTTTCTCAATATCACCAAGCCCCAATAGGGTTTAATTAAGGAGCTGTATACGACACTCCATTCTTCTACCTGTAAGACAATATCAATAACTATGCGGGTTTTAAGCTATTAGAGTCTGTATTGGACCCTTGTGAAATATAGATATCGGTTTTCACATCATCAAGATTGCAAAACATATGGAAGATTAAATATTGTCAAAATTGTCAATTATGGGAATACATTTTTCCTTACATTGAATGTAAACACATTTGCAGTATTTGAATATCATAGTCTGAAATGATCTGTATCTGTTCCAGTTAAAAAAGAGGAGGACGTCGGTCGGTACATCAAAGAAGAGTACCTCAGCAAAGAGGTGAGACATCAAGATTAGATAACCTTTTCTAGAAACCTCTCTAAGGAAGTCGAAGAACTACTGTGGATCGTACAATTACACAACTGTGCAAGAATACACTAGAATGTCTTTTTCTTGGTGGTTTTTATCCGTTTTTTCAAATAAACTTTGCAGACTACTTGCATGCACAAAAACATATCCTGTATAACACACTCCAGGAAAGGTAGAACCCTGAAAAAGCATGATAGGGCCTCTTTAAACTCTCTCCCTCTCCCTCCAGGCTGGACCTCGCACCCCTCCTCCTCCACCCCCGTTTGGGACCCCCCTCCCTCCCCCTGCGGAAAGAGAGCCCCCCTCTTCCTCAAAGAAGACCAAGTTCAGACCCCCGCCGCTCAAAAAGACACCGGACTCTCACGAAAAGTAAGTGGGAAAAGAAGTGGCACTAGCAGGGTACAGGTCTGAGGGAATGAGTCCTTCCACTTTGTATTGAATCAAATATACAGTGAGTGCTCGTAAATGAGGAATTGAGAAGTTAAGTGCTTTGTTATCACTCAAACCCAGCCTCGTCTTTGACTGTAAGACAAGCTTTTATTAAAGTCCGGAGCCATCCTCTCTTATCAGACTCAAGTTATTGCTCTCGTGTAATCCGTGCCAAACGCAAAATACAACAAAGTCTGCCTGCTCCTTCTGTCTTTCTGCTCGTGGTAAGACTTTGTTCTCTCTATTTTAACAGTTTTCACTTTCTCCAGCACATAACAGTAGCATATCTTAGTGTGTGAAGCAGCTTGAGGATGACATGACAAGCACCCTGGACAGGACTCAGATTTTCACACATTGTGGCATCTAGTCTTTTGACCAAACCTCCAACTCCACAAAATGATGGTGGAAACTCTTTGTGTGCTGAATGTGAGTGGGCAGAGCGCTCACTCTTTATATCCTTTATTTAGACACTTGGAAAGTGGTTGGGGAAGCCACAAAGAAGAGAGAGCTCTGGCGGATTTAGCCCTGAGGCTTGAGGAATGTGCATCCGTTCCTGGATGTTTTAAACAGCAACGGCCCGGGCTGGGGACTGACACCATCTCTGTGTTCTCTGTGTGCAGGGTCTTGTCGGAGACGTACTTCGAGGAGCGTTTTGCTGAGCTCCCAGAGTTTAACCCAGAGGAAGTCCTGCCTTCGCCCACTCTGCAGAGCCTGGCCACCTCGCCGAGAGCCATCCTGGGGAGCTACCGCAGGAAGAGACGCAACTCCACCGGTGAGAAGACGAAAAAGAGAGGCTCTCTTTGATCCAGTGGTGGAGGAAATACATAGATCTTTAAGTAAAAGTGCCGATACCACAGCAAAAATACTCTTTCAGTAAAAGTCCTACATTCCAAACCTTTTTGAAGTAAAAGTTTGTAGGTATGATCAGCAACATTAACTTTAAAGGTGGGGTAGGTCATTTTGGAGAAACCAGCTCGAGTGCGCTAGAATTTGAAAATACACAGCTGGAAAAAATCTGCCACTTCCTTACAGAGCCCCTCCTCCAACACACACTAACGCGCACATGACCAATGAGGGCACGAGATAAGTTTGTGCACAGAGAAGGCTGACAGGCAGGTAGGCCATCCAGTCATCTGGCTAAAATGATTGGTCGTGCTTTTTACAGTACTACGGCTTCCACAGATGACATTTTTTTTATGGATTTTTTGTCAAAACACTTAAGATATTTATTGCTATCGGGATGTTAAGAGCATTCCATGGAATATAACAACAAGTGTATCTCGAGCCGGTTTCCCAAGCTTACCTACCCCACCTTCAAGTATCAAAGGTAAAAGTAGTCATTGAGCTGTAAAATGTTCCTTATAAGGGCTTAACTGTTATTTATGATGCTTCTGTGTTAATATTACATTACAGTACATGTCATTAAGCTGGCACTTGTTTCCAAAGTGACTTACATACACTTCAATACCATAGACATGCCTACAGAACCAGTTAGGGTTAATTATTTTAGGGACACTTTGGCATGCTGTGTGCACTGGTTTTGGTTCGAACCACCGACCCTCTGCTTGGTATAGGCCCATTTACAACCTGCGCCACAGCCAAATGACTGCATGTGTATGCTGTGTTTAAATGCTGTAGATGTAGAAGTTCTGATTTTAATTGAATGTAGTACTGGGGAGTTTAATCGACAGCAGTGCTTCATGTTCAATAACATCATCACAGTTGCTTTGTCTCTGTCTCTAAAAAGTAAATTTTGTAGAAAAACTGCCTTTTTTCTGCTTTGTGACGTAGCACTTCAGCTTATCCAAGAAGCTTTTAAATAGTTTATTTATCTTAATAAGTAGGATAATTGTATAAACACAGAGGAAAACTTCCTTCAGTTCAAATCTAATTTGAACCTATGTGGATATCACTGAACAGGAAGGGTATACAAATGTATAATCTAAAATGTACTTGTAGTGTAAACTGTAGTGGAGTATTAATTATAATATTGCATTAAATGGAAATACTCAAGTAAAGTACATCTAACTTTTATTTTCTGCTCAAGTTCAGTACTTAAGTTAATAATAAATACATAACAAATAAGTAACATTTTCAACAGCCTTTTTTAAATCTAATTTGAAATTAAGAATATTTGTATCGCATTGCATTTCTGTACCCTGCTTTATTCTGAATTCTTCTTTTCCTCCATATTCCCCTTCTCCACCCTCCAAATGTCATGTGTTCAGAGCTGGAGGTGACAGCAGAAGAGCCCAGCTCCCCGAGGAGGAAGACCCGCCGTCTCTCCAGCTGCAGCTCGGAGCCCAACACCCCCAAGAGCGCCGCCAAGTGTGAGGGAGAGTTCTTCACCTTCGACAGAGCAGGTACGGCAGGCACATCGGGGGCAGCAGCTGCACACCTGCATCACACGGTGCATTGAGAGTGACATGGTGTGTTCCTTCTTCATGCAGGTACAGAAGGAGAGGATCTGCTTGGAGATCTGGACCGGGTCCCCTACTCGTCTCTGCGCAGAACTCTGGATCAGCGCCGGGCCCTGGTCATGCAGCTGTTTCAGGAACATGGCTTCTTTCCCTCAGGTAAACATAGATAGGACAGGAAGTCATGGTAAAAACTGAGACAGAGATTTCATATTGTGAATGTTTAAAACTATGCAGCCAAGATTTATATAGGGTCTGTTCCTTTATTCCTGCTGAAACAGTAACACTTACATAATGCAAATTATTACACAAACAGCTTTACAACTTTCTAATTGGAGAACATCCATTATATCAAAACTTCCAAACAACCTACTAATGCAGGTTGGAATTAAAAGAAACTTCACAATAATTACATAACATTTTATTTCGCTGAAGCTTTTTAAAAGTGTAATTAACCATGAAAAATATTAACTCTGAACAGCAAGAAACCTGCAAGTACATTTGCTACAAATAAGTACTGGTGCATTAGTCTTAATTTACCTAAACCTAAATAAATCCACACTTAATTATTATAATAATAATATTTTATAATATTTCACATTATCAAAAAATATATAAGTGACAAATGTAAAGACAATTTTGGTAGGTTGACAGGGCTCTTTGTAGCATTTTTTCCCACCTCATTTGATCAGGATAACCAGAAATAGAAACTGGTTTAAAAACACATTCAAGGAATTTGCCTTGGTGTATATGGTGCATACATAAACAAAGTTAAAGAAGATACATTGTCATAAAAGTACAAAAATATAAAATGATTATAAAAATCTATAAAAAAACTATTATAACATTTAAAATATAGAGAAATATTTAAATGAAATATAAATATACCAAAAAACTGTGTGTTATTACAAAATATGTGCAGTATTGGTATGAAAAGTGGAGAGCTGTGCAGATATAAGAAGAGGTAGCTTTGTGTACAAATGCGAAAAAAGTTCAGAGGGTTGTGCAGGACTGACAGTATTTAAATGAACACGATATTGTTGTTATTTTGTATATAATAGTGTATTTTGTTATTTATACTATTTTGTTGTTAAACTCAGATATACCTGAATCGTTCATTTTTTAATGAAACGCAAAACTGCTCAAATAAATGATACTGCACATGCAATCTGTAGCAATTACTGCCTTTATCAGTGACTTACAGGATATATGGTTATACAAGTACACTTTTTTAATTGATCATATACACAACAAACACATAAGAGCAGTTGTAGGCAATAAAAAAGTCTCAGGCTCCAGGAATCAATACTAATTAAATAAGTTTATAAAAGATAAGGAAGATGATGCAATTAAAAAGAAATGGGACTCTTTTTAATGCATTATGTCAAATATATATGACTTGATATCCTACACTGTTTATATCACCTGCTCTATCTCCTTCCAGCTCAGGCCACAGCTGCCTTCCAGGCACGTTACTCGGACACCTTCCCGTCCAAGGTGTGTCTGCAGCTGAAGATCCGCGAGGTCCGTCAGAAGATCATGCAGACGGCCACACCCGGGACCCTGGAGCTCGGAGTGTTAGCGGGGCTGGCTGAAGTGAGCCCCACCCCGCCCCACAGCTCCTCTTTCAATCAATCAGCGCGGGAGGAGGGAGGGGCGGAGCAGCACCGAGACAAAGGCCGGAATCCAGAGGGGCCGAAAAGCGAAGGATTGTAAAGCGGTAGAGGATGACAAGGTGGAAACATCCAGGAAAAGAAGAAGAGAGAGGAGTGTGTCATCCCCGCAGAATGTTCTTGTATGTGTTGAGTACTGTTAATGGCTCCAGCGGGATCCGTTCTTTTGGCACTTATCTCCACCAGACCTGGGAGCAAATACATTTGACTATGGTCACAAATATTCAAACTACTCAAGGTGCGCTTGATTCGTCTTATTAGACTTTTTTATAATTTTTAAAAAGCCTCAAAAGGGGACAAATCATTTGCAAGTCCTGACGAGTCAAATGCTTCTTGTAGTTTCCTTTTTTCCCCCTAAGTATCCAGAATATATTCAGTTGGCCCAGGTCTGCTCTCAGCACATTTGTACAGTAGTTTTTAGTATGAAACTCACACAAACACTGGTGCATATGTAATCTCCAGCATGCACATGATCCCACATACACACACATGCACACACACCCTTACCAAATCAGACTGTTACTCTTGGTCGGCAGTCCCCGGGAGCAGCCACCAAGGACCATGACACAGAAAGGCACTTTGTCACTTATCGTGGAGATGCAGTTTGCTGTTGCCAGCCAGACAGCCAGCCAGCCCTCAGATGCCATTGACTCGACCTCCTTCTCGCCCTTCCACTCCTCAGCACAGTGGTTGGGACGCAAACACAACCCCAACGACCTCCACTGATATTCCACAGCCCCTCGATGCTGCAAGACAGACAGCACACACACATATACAGTACAAATACACACACGCAGTGCATGGACACATATGTGCAGTGTGAGCACTCGTACAAGAAATCGTCAACCCTGGTCTGACCAAGCCATCGGCCTGCACAGTTTTTTGTGATTGTAGTGAGAAGAGAAACTGACAGCATGACATCTTTTTGCTCCTGGAAAACAAAGAGAAGGCTGGAGTTGCGATGTAGTGTGACCAATCTTTGCACCTTCAGTTATTGCCATTATGAAAGACACAGTCGTCGTTGGCAGGAGCTGATCATATATATATATATATATATATATATATGTCTGTATGTCTGTTGGGGTTCCCTTCCCCAACAGCTTGTGCGAACAGGCACCGTAAAGAGATTATGTAAAGACTATTGGTTGTGAGGCTTTGAAGAATCTACGTTAAGTTGGACGGGCTCCCGACAGAGCGCAGAGAAAAAGACAGAAGATGAAGAAGAACCTGGATGATGCTCATTGGACGGAAGATTCATATTCCACCTATAGGAAGACAGATATTAATAGTGAATAAGGACATGACAAGCTTTCCAACAGAGATAAAAAAGTAGAAATGTAACCAAACTTCTCTGAATCTCCCAGTGGATATAATGTTGCTTTCTCTTGTTATCGTTGCCGTGGAAATAACCAGTTTTACCGTGGCCTGTTTTTCTCTTGTGGCTCTATTGTGTTTCTTCTCCGGCATAAAAAAATCACAAAAAAAAAACTCTGGACAAAGACGGGGGACATAATCAGTCTGCGCCCCCACAATTTTAATTGTACCTGGGGCGGTTCTCACCCCCCCCCCTCCTTTCCCAATATCTCTTCTCTTCGATTTCTCACCAGACAAAGAATTGGGGGAGCAGGGGGCGTTTGTCGTTTTGTAAAAACGTTGAAATCAGGTGTTTGCACAATTCGTGTGGCCCTTCTAGCCGCAAGTTAAATCAGGAAAGTATTGTTTTTAGAGATTGTTATAGTAGTTAAAATAATAACCTTGTTCCGTATGTTATCAACCACCTTATTCCTCCTTACTCTTTTTCCCCTCCTCTCCTCCCCTCCCCATTTTACCTCCCTTGACCCCTCAAGTGTTGTTAGAAAGTGCCCTTAAGCACTGGTCCCGGGTCAAGCGCTATGTAGCTCAGGATGGTTCTGGTTAGGGTTAGTTCAGGGAAAGCAGATCCTAGACCAGCCCTGGAGGGCAGTCTCTGGAGCCCTCCCCTCTTCCCTCTCTTCTCAACACTTTATCCTTTCCCGTCGAATGGTGCAATAGGACATTTATTTTTTTGGAAATGGGTGGGTTATTTTGTTTGGGGAAAGGCTCTGTGCCATAGATATTAAAACCAGTGCAGTCAGTCAGTGAGAGGAATGAGCTGTTGTGATACTGTCTTTAACTATGGTATAAAACAAAAAAAGAATCACGCAATTGTTGTTATTGTCAAAGAGATAGAGTATAACTTACTAAAAGTCAAAGACAATTTTTGAATAGCACTTTTTGGCTCTTTGCCTCGGTGAAGAGTGGGGGTAGTTATTATCATGGGTATCTCTTTTATTTCTCTGTATACAGTTGGATGTGTGAAAAAATATATATACCGGTATTTCCATATATGTGCATTTAGGTCTGTGTTTGGGTGTGTGTGTGTGTGTATGTGTGTTTTGGCACATGCGGGTAGTGTGTTAACACAACCGACCTCTTGTTCTTTCTCCACACTGCAAGATCATCAAAAGTATATTTTTCATTGTATTCTTCATTATATATTCTACAATAGAGACAGTATTTTTATAGTCACCATGACTATTTTGTCCGCCATCTTGACTGTTATCAAACCCAGTTGATTCAGGATATATATAAAATATATATTCAGGATACTATAAATACATATATATAAATACACACAGGTAATAGAGGACTATCAATTTGGGGGTTAGGGCTTTAAAGTGTCCATCTGCATGCATGTGAAATCCCATGCACACATGCACACACCCACCAAGACATATGTGCATACACACACTTGTATGTGTGTACACTGTATGATTGTGCTTAAAAATAAACTGTCCTTACTTTGGAGAAGGAATTTTAGGATGAGCGATGTGAGTGTTATCTCATAAGCAGGCATGTTGACCATGTGCAATATTTCTAAACAACAACAAAAAAACTAAATATTGAAAATATTAAAGTTCTAACACAATGTCTTGTGCCCTTGGATTTGTTCATGTCTTTGAACTTCAATTCAGCGTTGAATGTTTCACACACAAATGTATATCTTATTTAAAACACACAGAAGGTGTCCATAGAGTTTGATACTATTTTCTGATGTATTGCAATATGTGCTTATAATTTATTTCCCCCCAAAAGGCAGTGGAGACGAAAAAAACTATATATTTTGACAAATTAAGAGGATTACCAGATGCAGTCACTTGACCCACCAGTCAAGTCCAACAAATCCCTGGAACATACAGTGTGTACTCTACACTGACCTTTATCAAGCATCACAGTGTTAAGAGTTCTTATTAAGTAGCCTTTTAGATTGAGGTCATATTGGCATAAGAATGGTGTTTAAACCAAGCAAAACATATTATAATATCACTGATTATATTGAATACGATTTGAAAAGCTGATTTAGTTGAAGACATCACGATGCTGAACCTTCTAAATATCTGAATTTCCAAAGTATTTATTTCCATGTTCATTAATATTTTTTTTTAAGTACTTATTCACAGATTTCAAAGTAAGGTTACAAAGTACTTTATGGATCAGCTACAATAATGTCGAAAAAATATAAAGTGGAGAGCATCATTCCACTAAAGGGTTAACTTCATTTATGTATCTGACGAATTTTGACGTAACACTCAATTGTTAAGCCTTTAATTGTTATGTTTTTATATATACTGTTAGTATAGCTATATTCCCGGCCTACATCCACTGTTAAGTCATTGTAGTTGCTTTGACTTGTTAAAGCCTGTGCAGCAAACCGGAGCAACAGCTACATCGAACTTCATCTCCCATGTGGCATTGCGAGCGGTCTGTTTCTAGGTGTCTAGCAACAGCTATCAGCCCAGACAGCCGGCGGCAACGGGAGCGGTATTTCTCGGTGTCTTTCCACGATTATTCGCTGCCGGGTGTGTATCATTAATAGTCGCTAGGCTGAAAATAGTGAAAGAACAACCCTGACCCCTGCACAGAGATATGAGCGGCAGCGGGCGGCCCAGGACCAGCTCGTTTGCTGAGCCGCCAGGTGTTCAAGGAACCGCCGCTGCGTCCACCGGATCAGCCGCTGCCGTGGGGAGCAGCACAGGAAAGTCCGGGGTCGCGCAGGCCTCCGGCAGCAGCTCGTCGGGATGCTCCAATCTAAAGCTTGCCAGTAAGTTCTTATTATCCAACCGGGTTTTATCAGACTATGTGTATTCGATATATTATGCTATGTGCTTTTGCCTCAGACATGCCTTCAAGTGTTAATTTTCGCAACCCGGAGTAAAGTCGTTATTGCTCTTGTGTAGTGGTGGTAGCCAACTTGCTAACATGCTAACGTGTTAGCATGCTAATGTTAGCCACTTGTTTTGTATCTTACTAGTTCCCCTGCTGGTGTCAAACTAAGCAGCTATCATTATAGGCCAATAATAGGCCATCAATATAACCCACTGAAACGTTGGACATGTTATCAAAGAATCTTGTTATTTATGATAAATTACAAGCTACGGGTATTTTTGACTTCACTGTGGTCAATGCGAGTGAGAATTAAAACGGGGCTCTGTTGTTCTTTGTGGCCAAGCTCTTCTCAAATATACTAGCTTGAATGCTGCATTCAGTTGTGTTTTTGATGATGTTGTTTGAGAGTGGGGCTTAGGCTATCAGCTTGGCTTGCCTGCAGAAGGGTCAGGACGTAAAGTTGCCTGTTCACCAAGGTCACCTGTGGGGCAAGGCTTAGCAGCAGGTGGCCCACGCCTGGAGGATGCAAGTGATGCATGTCCAGTACAAGAGCTGTGCTGTCTACTGGGATGCCAAGGAGCTATGCCTCTTTATCACCATAGTGACAGGTGTAATGGAGATATGAATGTATGTGTGTTTGCATGTGTTAATCCAACCCTTATCATCCATTAGCAGGCAGTGGTGTTTGACTTGGATATAAGAGCCCAAATGGGAGGTCATCTCCAGTTCAAAACAGGGTAGCCTTTTTTTCGCTCACCCTCAGAATCACTGCCCGAGGCCCTTAAAGTCACGAATGTTGCCTTCAACTGATAAAGATGAATGATGGATACATTGTCAATATTGGGAGACCTTGTTGAGGCTATTTCAAGGGGATGGATTAACCTACTTAGTTAATTGTTTATGAAAGAGAATCATTTGATATTTCAGGGCTCGACATTAAGGGCTGCCCGATGGCCCGGGGCCATCTAGTATTTAGCTCGGGCAATGAAGCCTCACCTGCTGGCTCGCGGATCCAGTAATGAGTGACCCGACAGTAAAACTAAACATATCTATAACTAGGTAGTTTGAGAGGTAATTAAAATAGCTAGCCTACGTGTGATATTCTAACCTGAAGTGTGTGTTTTATCCGCTCAACGCTGCATGTGATCATGCAGAGCTGCGTGTCGACTAGTCAGCAGCAGCTGATATCTCTCTCCCGTCAGATTAGACTTCACTCGCGTTTATGTCCATATTGATCAGATCTAGCTAGTTCTAGCTAATGATAGGACTACCTGCTTATTAAAAGACACCTAAACAATAAGAATCGCTATGCAACTGGGTGTGGCCACAAAGTATAGCGCAGCATAATGCATTTGTTTACATGCCCACCGGAACCCCGAGGCATTACCAACAGATCAACGCACAATCAACCCATACAGGACATCTCTTTCTCCACATTACGTGTTAGACATTAGAATTAACTATTCTTGTCTGTCACATACTCTTCTTGTCTGTGACATAAGTGGCGCAACTGAAGCGGCATTGCGCTAAAAGGGAAATTATTTTGACCGGACATTTTGACCGAAGAGATTTAGATTTGCTTGCTAACGGGAACTCTGACGTCGCCATTGTGTGTGCTTCGCAGATGCACTCGGCTGCTCGGGTCTGCTCGGTCAGCTTCTGGATGAGGAGGCATTCCTTCGACCAACTTACAGTAGATAACATTACAAACATTTTTAAGAGGGGCCATAATAGCGTAAATAATGTTTGTTTTGGCAGTTATAACTGCATGTAATGTTTTCTACTTTTTTACATCTCGGAAGGCATTTGCCTTCATCAGATGGAAAGTGTCTTGACCAACAACTTAAGTATTTATTATAGCTATGCAGGGCATGCAAGCGAGC